AGGAAAATGTTTGAATTTCCAAGACTTCATAAGGTAAATAAATAATATTTTAGATGGAATTAAAAACAATCATCTACAGTCAACTCTCTATAAATGCACTCTAAATAAATGCACACCCTTTATAAATGCACCATTTAGCTTAGTCCTAAGTTGGGGAATTAATGTTAAATGCACCCTCTACTCTATACACGGTTCAACAATTTTTCAATTCCGGTTATATAAAAATTTTTTATATAAATGCATTATCATGTGAATTTATATATTTTAATATTGTAATACATAATAAATTATTTTTAAATCCGCGTCCGACAGTTCGGATGCGACTTATTATTATTATTTTATATAATAAAAGCCGTTCCGACAGTTCGGATGCAACATTATTACCGGTATAGGTGTTTTATTTAATTTTATCTTATAATAAAATTTTTTTATACTTACATAATATATTTTTTTATAAATGCACACCCTATATAAATGCAGATTTTGTTCAGTCCCGGGGTGCATTATAGAGAGTTGACTGTATAAAGAATATACGAAAGAGTCAGTCTGAAAAGCGTAAACACTTTAGCGGAAAATTCTCTTCTGATTATTCATTTATTATTCATTTATCCTTTTGTTTCTCAAATAATTTATTGACGGCAAATTGATCACGTGAAATGTGAGGATAACTATTTCATTAGTAATAAAAAAATTTACAAAATGAGAACTTTGAGAGTATTGAGATGATCTTATCAGGGTTGATTTCTTTTACAAATATTTTTCAAATATTTAATATAACCAACATAAATAAATTATTAATTAATTTAAAATCAGATTTGCGGATTATATAATGAACATCGATCATGCAATAAATTCTTTTTTTAGGATATACGAAAAGATTTTCACGAAAGGTAAAATTAAAAGAATACAAACACATGTTATCTTTAAAATTATTTATTTATAACGGTTTTCACGCGATAAATATTTAAACAAATCAACTTGTATGCAGTGTAAAAAGGGATTATTTTTCTCAACTTGTAAAACTTGTATCGTGGTTACTTGTATTCAGTTTAACCAAGTTTATTATAATGGACTGATTTGTTAAAGAATATATTTAAATTTCATATGTCCATCCCCAAGCATCGATATCTATATCAAATTATGGTAATTTTTGCCAAAGAAAGGAGAATGTTTCATACAATAATCAGATGGTCAAACAAAAAATTATAAATATACACAAGAAATGTAATGCAACTCAAATAATGCATATTTTCGTCATATGTCTAAAACAGGAAAGTGGCATCTGGTAAAAAACTAGTTGATTTTTACCCCACTTTTTGCTAGTCACGCAAAGTGTCACATGTATAGTTTTAAATTCTCGTTCTCTTTAGATGAAACACAAACATTAATTGATATACATATAAAATGTTTAAGAAGTAAACTACCCTTTCTTTACTTCTCCGCAAAATAAAAAATATTGCTTCTTTATGATGTTTGTTTGTTGTACACCATGCACACCACATCCATTTTTTAACCATTACGCGGAATAACGTATGCATTTCTTCCAACATTCCCTAAACGCCAATATACCCAAATCGATAGTAAAAAGAAAAACCGATTCAAAAAACCTAATTGTCAGCCGCTTTTACATGCTATAACAAGTTTTTTTTTTTGATTCTTCCCATATTTATGTATTTATTTTATCACCTCTTTAAATTTATACAAATTATAATATACTTTAAATTCACATGAGAGTTTTATATTTCTCTTACATCTTCAAATGATTTGTAAAGAACTTTATGACGATTCTTTCCTAAATCATAATTTATTAAACTTATTATAAAAAGGATATTTTATACGTGTTATACAAATCTCATTTTGTTAAAAAAAGTTTTCATTTTTTTTTTAAATTTCCCATTTTATTTCCTTTACAATAATGAAATTTCAAGAACCAAGCACCGATATACAAGAAGTATGTAGTGAAGTTACGGTTGACTCAGATATTGATGCTGGTTCATTCGGTGGAGATAGTTCTCATAAAACAGACACTGTTTCTACTAATAATGTCATTTCACGCACGAGCTCAACTTCTCAAGAGGAAAGGTTCTTACAATTTCAAACTCAGGACATACCAAATCTTTTGATGCCCGTTCATCGTAGAAGACGTTCTCAACCTGCGAACAAAGATACTGAAAATGATTCAGAATCTCCTTCAAATGGTAGCAATAACACTGAAAGTTCACTTATACTTCATAAAGATTCGGAACTTGCGGTAACCATTAATAGAATGACAACAGCTTCTCGAGCTGGTTTAGATTTGGCAAGTATTATAACAGGAATTGCTTTGGAAACCGCAAAATTATCTACGAGAGCTGGTTTGGGTTTTGCGAAAACTGTTACTGGTGTAATATCGGATAGATTGGTTCAAACTATGTCAAGGGATGGTAAATGCGGGTGAGTCATCTAAAAAAAAATAATTTATAATAAATCTTTGTTATCTATCATTCTCTTACATATTTCCCTTCTAATTTGATCCTTCATAACAAAAGATTTACATATTTTTTTATTCCTAGACTTATTGATACATCAACAAATCTTTTACATCACACATTAAATATAACCGAACAAGTTGCATTAGTTAGTTTGGAGTTTGCGACTGATACGGCACAATTCGCTTTCGGCACAACAAATGAATCCATGACCATAATTGATACCTTGTTTGGTACCACGGATGCGGCAAAGGCTTTGGCTGAATTCGTACAATTGGTAAAAAGAGAATTTAATGTAAGTTATGAGCAGGATGATAATTTAGAAGATAACCTTGGTACCTTTGGAGCTTTTCGTGTAATAAAAGCGTTAACGGCTTGGGCTTGTTTACAATACGTTACAAATTCTAGAATGGAAAATGGAAAAACCGGATGGAAGAGGGTTAGGTTGGTAGATCTTTCGGATATGTATGATTGGGTACATGTATCAAAGTCTGAGACTGAAGATATGAAAGAAAATATTTATGATGAATTAGAATATTTGTTACTTGAAGATGAAGGGGATGAAGAAATGGTGATTATATCAAATAAATCAAATAATATAGTTATAGGTGAATTGACACCAAAAGAAGAGATACCTGGATTTAGATTTAGTATGTCGGATGAAAAATCTAAACGTTTAAGTGACATTTATTTGGATGCTACTAAAAGATTAAGTAATCCTTATTTGGAAGAATATGAATTTCAAACCGAAGATGAAAAGTTATTTTCCTTACTTCATAATTTAAAAAGATACTCAAAATTTGGTAGTAGCGCTTATGATTTTAAAACAGCTATTATTGATAAAATACCTTTCCCAAGATTCCCAATTAAATCACAGAGGTGGAAGGAACGTGGTAGATTACATAGATTTTCGTTCGCGTCTAATACTGATTTACCATTTGATAGTATAGTTGATTCTTCACATACAAAGACACCAAAAAATCCAAGTAATTATCAACCTTCTTATTTCATAATAAGAGATCATACTACCGAAAGTATTATATTAGCTCTAAGAGGTACGATGAGTATACATGATTTAATTGTTGATCTTACTTGTGAGTATGAAGAGTATCAATTACCCGAAGATGTACAACGTGGAATTGATACTAAACATAAAGTGCATAAAGGAATGTTTCAGGTTGCAAAAAGTCTTGCTGAACCTGGAAATACCGGCGTTTTTGAAGTATTGAAAAGGGAATTAGAAGCTAATGAAGGTTATGGTTTGGTATTGGTCGGTCATTCCCTTGGTGCTGGTAAGTAATTCTTCAATTCAGAGTATATTTTATTCAAAATCCTTTTTCTAAATAATTTTCACAATTATTTTCACGAAACTTAACTTCATTCTTTCATCATATCATAGGTGTTGCAAGTTTATTAGCATTGCTGTTGGCTTCACCCACGACGCGACAGACGACGGTATGGTCACGTCTTCCACGTGGTCGTAGAGTACACGCCTACGCATTTGCGACTCCATGTGTAATGTCCGCCGAGTTATCAAAGCGGGTACGTCCATTGGTAACTTCAGTTGCATATGGTAACGATGTAGTCTGTCGATTATCGTTAGGACATGTAAGAGATTTAAGGAATATGGTAAGATTTTTGGGATCTAATAAACAAAAAGGTGGGGAAGAAGGACAGGAAACGGCAAGTAAAATTATAAGAAAAGTCCTAGATTATCAAAGTAGAGCGTTTTTTGCAAATACTGAAGAAGGTAGAAAAGATAAAGAGGATTTTGAGAATTTCTTTTGGAAAGCACGACAAGATGTTTATAAACATATGCAAAGTGAAAAATTATATCCACCCGGTACAGTTTATTGGATTATCGGAAATGATAGAAAACCTTATTGTGATGCTAGTTATGACGATGAAGAAGGAAGCAATAAGGAAAAGGCTTCTGATGTTAAAGGAAATGGAATCGAAAAAGAACTTGGCGAACGTGATGTCAACAACGATGACGATATATTTGAGGAAAAGGGTAACATTACGACGAGTTCTGGCAAACAATATATAATGTTGGAAATTGATGATGTTTCAAAGATTTTTGAAGAAATTTGGTTTTCTTCCCATATGATGTTTGATCATCTCCCTCATATGTATGGTAAGTAAAAGGAGGTTATATCTTATGAGCAGAACTTTTAATTTTTTTTTTAAGCGATGCGTTTCCTAACTGAATCTTTTCATGATTTGTAGAAAGCGTATTGAGGAAATTGTAATATAATCGTAACTTTTATCATTTACATTTTACTATCAAAAAAAAAATCATCATCATCATAACCATCAATATACAAAAGCGACTTTTTTTGTTTATGATCCATTGTTTATTATTTATTATATTATTATATTAAAATTCATTTGTGTATACATGTCCTCTTTCTTGATATAAAATTATTTTCTCGACTAAATTTATGATTTATTGTCTTTCGAAAGAATTTCTTTTGCAATTTATGTTTGGTCGTTAATCGATCACGTGATGTCCCCAAAAATTACCCTTCCCGAAAAGGCTAGTAAACAAGTAAAGCATGGTACCTGGTTTCAAAATAAAAGGTTACACGTACAGCAATGGCAAATGATTTGTTTGGTTCTAGGCTATGATCTGAGAGTCGGGGAATGACGCACATCAAAATGTTCCCATCACTTGTGATACATATCATGTAAATATAAACAAGTAAAATGTGATTTTCAACCGACAATTTTGTTTCTTTGTTGAATCAACTACCTTAGATCATCATGACTTTTCGACCCTCAACATTTCGAGCAATAAATAAATCTAAAAGTCCAAGTTCGTTTCGTTCACTACATAATACACTAAATTTAAGCGCGACTCCAACAACTGAATCAGCTTCTTCTTCTTCTAGCCCGACTACTAATTCACCACTACCACCGCCACCACCACCACTTAGATTAAGAGTTGTAAGTACCTCAAAGCAAATTAGGATAACAACAAATAATTCATTGAGATTACATCCAAAATTTGGGAAGAATCAAAATTTACCTATAGATGATGAATTTAAAGAGCGTTTAAAAAGATTATTGCATAATTTTCAAGCACCTATCCGATACGTTATTGCTTATGGTAGTGGCGTCTTTCCGCAACAAGGTTACGATTATGATCATAAAAAGGTAATTTAAAATTAAATTTTTATTATTAAATGAATATTGCTAATAACTCAATTTATTTAGGATAAACCCATGATTGATTTTCTATTTGCAGTTGGACATCCACAACATTGGCATTCGTTAAATATTAATCAAAATAGAAAACATTATAGTTTTATGGCTACTTTAGGTAGTGGTGCTATAACTATGTTACAAGAAAATTTTGGTGCCGGTATTTATTATAATCCATATGTCAAGATCGATGATACGGTATGTACGCTTTTGGAACATATTTTTTTTCAAATAATATTATCCTATAATCAAATTAATATCCCTTTATATCCCTTAGTTGATTAAATATGGTGTCGTATCAATAGATAAAATGTGTAAAGACTTATTAAATTGGGAAACACTTTATTTAGCAGGTAGAATGCACAAACCCGTTAAAATATTAAGCGATGATGCAAGGGTCAGATTAGCACAACAAGTAAATTTAGCAAGTGCATTACGTACTGCCTTGCTTCTATTACCAAAAGATTTTACCGAAGAAGAACTTTATTTAACAATTTCTTCCATATCATTCAAAGGTATTTATTTACAAGGGAATAGCTTTTTTTTTTTTTTTTTTGTTGAGAGGTATAATAATTATGATGATTTATTTTAGGTGATTTTCGTAAATATTTCGGAGAAAATCCTAATAAGATAAAGAATGTTGTGTCGAGACAAATGAAAAATTTTAATCTATTATATGGAGGATTAATACAAGGATTACCTAATGTTGATTTTGTCGCAAATGGAAAGTTGCAGGTAAAAAGAGTAGAAATTTTTTGTTGTTAATAAAGATTAAAGGATTTGTTATTAAATAACATTTTATCTTTAAATAGCAAGATGATAGTCCAAAGGCGAGAGCTCAAATGATACAGAAACTACCTAGAACATTAAAGTATAAAGTACAAGAGGAACATAGAATGGTATTGGCTGGGAAAGGAATCCAATGGCCGTCAGGTGAGATATTGAATTAGCCGAAGGAAAGGTTATTAAATTTTAAGTAGTAAAGTTATTTATTTATTTTTTATTATTTATATAGATGATATTGATGCCTGTAAGAGCATTGCTAATTCAGGAAATCATGTCGATTATATAAATACTGGTAAGTTAAAATACTTTGCTTTGATTTATTTACTTTAATCTTTCATTTCATTAACACAATTTTTTGTTAATTATTTTTTATTTTTTATTTTTATTTTTTTATTTTTATTTAAATAAAATAAATAAATAATTTCATATTGGTTTATTATTGAAAACGTTTTTAATTTTTTTATAATGAAATTTATTAAGGATTGAGAGACATTATATTTAAACCGGTATTATCACAAAGTTTGAAAGGAATATTAACAGCTGGATTTAGTAAGAGTACAACATACGCTTGTAGTAAAATAGGAAAATGGATTAGAAGACCATCATAATTAAAAGTTTATATATTATTGTATTTAATTTCCACCGTATAAATCTTTTTTTATTATTTGGTAATAAAGTGTTGGATTTATTTTTTATTTTAAAATTTAGTAAATAGAGACATATATAATATACATATATTAGAGTTAAAATTTATTTTATTTAGAGAGAATGAATTTAAGAAATAATTTCTTTTATATATAAAGTATTATAATAGATGAGTTTTGAATAAAATTAATAAAATTGTAGTTTAAACAAGACATATTATTAAACCTTAAAAAAAGAACCTTAATTTCATATTAATACATTAAATAATTAAATTCTTCATAAAATTCTTAGGTGTCATACTATGATCATTATATCAATTCAACATGCGATAATTATCTTATTTTTGCCATTAAAAAAGATTTTTGCCAAGAAACAAATTATTCCCGTAAATGTATTCAATAATATATACTTTTTTTTTTAACTAGCGCAGTTATAATTAAATTTATAATTAAATGCACATTGTTTCCAAATCGTCGATTTCTAATTTGATATCATGTATATCTAATTTTAAATATTCTTCTTCTTCTAAATAATCATAAGCATCTTTTAATAATTCTTCAATTTGATTTTGAGATGATTGGATAGCGGAATTCATTTCGTTTTCTTTTTGATCTAATAAAATTAATAATTCATCTACTGATAAATTTTCCAAACAAATTTCACGTTCCATTTTATTATTCCGAGAAACGTTTTCGTTGAAAGAAGAAGCATTTTTGTCAAAGCAATCTTGATTCGAAAGAGAGTTGTTGGAAGGAGTACAATAAGTTGTTTTAAAGTTACTTTTATTAGTAGAAGAATTCTTCTTTGGAAATTTATTTTTTTCAATTTTCCTCCTGGTATCTTTGGATATTTGTTGTCTATCCCTGGTTTGTAAGAAGAGCAATCTTGACCTAATATTATTTAATTCGACCAACTTATTTAATTCGAATTCGCTCGCGTCTTCTTTAATTTTTCTAGCCAATTCCAATTTACATAATAATTCCCTTTCAATGAATGCTTTCTTGAATAATAATTTTAATTCCAAGTGTTCAATTTGTTTATATAATAATGAAAGTTTACGGTGATGTTTTTTTGTTTGTTTTGTTGGTGGTGGTTCCTTTGGAAGTTTAGTCGTTGGTGAAGTTGGGGAGGATGAGAGTGAAGATATAAGTGGAGTAAGTAAGGAAGGGGTTAAAGAGGCCGTTATTGTTGTAAAGATCGTTAATGATTGATTTAATATGCTCTTTTGTTTTGTCATTTTCGTAAAAAGTTAAATATATATATATAAAAGGAGACCCAAAGGACGGAATTGAAAAGAATTAGGAATAATAAAGGTGATTATTTTTTGATCTAAAAAGGATATTAAGAAATTAATGTAATAAGTTGTGATATAATACTTTTTTTACTTTTAATTCGTTTCGATATATATACAAAATTAAAGTCGTTTTTATTAAATCGAGGAAGATTTTATGAAAAGGAGAGAGAAAAATCGTTACTTAGAAGAAAGAAAAAAGGGGACGTAAGATAATTCGTTTACAAGAACAACATTCGTTCGGTTTAAAAATAAAGATCGATTCATCAAAAAGAGAGAGAGAGGGATTTTCGTCAAAAGAATAATAAAAAAGAAAAGGATCGAATTCGGAATACGGTTTTTTTTTTTTTAATAAAAAATGGTTTTATTATTTATTGAGTTGTCAAAAACTGACGATAAATGATGTAAATTCAAATCATATATATAATTTTGAAAAAAAATTTTTTTTTGATTATCAAAAAAAAAAAAAAAATTTTTAATTAAAATTTCCGTTCTAAATTAAATTTTTTTTTTTTCTCTCATGTATTGATATGCTATTGTATGTATGTTGTATATTAATTCTATATGCTGTTGTTATACTTCATGTATGAATGCTAGTGTAATAATTCTCGATGCTAGTGTGGAAAGCCTTTTATGTCAAAAAGATGAAAAAAAAACAAAAAGAAGATTTATTCGGAAAACTTAAAAAAAATTTTTTTTTATTTTAAACGATCGGAACCTTTTTGTTATGAGTCACAAATTGTAATGAAAAGATTTTATTCGGCTGTGAATTGGAAACAAAAAACTCAACTCCCTAACTTTAAAATTCAATTCAATTATGGTAATAAATTTAATTAACAAACAAATAAAATTAAATTACAGTTTCTTAATTAGTTTTAGTATATATGTACGTGAAATTCAAAAAAAAAAATGAAAATGAAAATAAAAATGTATATATATATATTTTTTGAATTGAACCTGTTTCTGTATATATATTATAAATATTTTCTTTTCTTTTCTTTAATACATGACGTTTTGATTTTGTTCCATTGAGGGGCTTTTTTGAAATGATAATTCTTTTTTTTTGCTAGATTTTGTTTTTTGAATATAGAAGAGATCATCTTCAGAAACTATTTTTTTTTTTTTTTGCAACATAGGACAGCGGGCACCGGACAAACCCATCCACTTAGACGCCCGTCATTTACCAGGAGTATCATCATCAACTATCTAAATAAAGTAAGATGGATAATCTTATGCGATGATGACTAATTTGATTTACCTTAATAGGATTGATACACACAATCGCAAAACTCGGTATTTTTAACTTGTAAAATATGCGAGCATTTTTTATCCTTTTTTTTTTTGTTTTTGTTGTATGAAAATATACCTCACAATATCCGTAATTTCGGTGTGATTCCTTTTAATTTTACGGGGGCAAATGGCGCCCCCCCAAAAATAAATTTATGTCATCATATACTATTATTATTCAATCGACCTACCTTGTGTATAGTGGTATATACGCAAGTCCTTCGTGCGCTAATTTAGAAATTTCAAGGAGGGAAGTAATTTTTCGACAAGCAATTCATGAAATCTCATTACCATGTCCGATGTCGAAAAAATAAAGGATAAAAATACTCATAGCATGTGTTAATCACGTGTGAAGAACAAGAGTATCATGCGTCTCATGCCTCAGGAATAATATGAAGGAATAATTGATTGATCTTAACGTTATACAAGGATGAGAAACTTATCACATTATTTTAATTTAAACGTTTTTTTTTATAAATTAAGGGGTGGTTTACATTATTATTATTATTATTATTATTATTATTATTATTATTATTATTATTTATTATTATTTATTTATTATTTATTATTTATTAATCATCATTTTTTTTAAACAATAAATCTAATCAAAGATCGAGATTTTTGATTTCGGTTTTTTTTTTTCAAATATTCAAATATAATGGATCACGGGATCAATTAATTTATCCAAAATGGCGAAATTAATTTATCCATAATTAGATCTACTATACCCTTTTATGTACAGTTCAATGTGACGATCTTTGCCGAATCAATTTCGGATGTTTAAACGTGATATCAAATTCGTGTATTTGAAAAATATATCGTATTAATCAAATCAATAAAACTTTCAATGGGATAATTCAATTTTGATTCATATGGATAAACCTTGCTGTTCATCCCTGTTTAAATACATTGGAAGTTGTAAATAAATTGAGCCATAAATTTTGGAATCCATAATCCACGAACTTCACTTAAAATGGTTGTTTTATTACCAACAATTGCTTTCCCTGATAATATCATTAGATTATTAGATTATTATATTCCATATTGATTCATTTCACTTACAAGATTGAAATTCAAAACGATTTGAATCTATAAAAAAAAATTTTTCAAAATAGCTAAAATATAATTTAAGAAGAATATTAAATATTTCACGTGAGAAACTTTTTGACCTCAGATTCAATTTGATTTAATGTCTAAGAATCAAAAAAAAATTTATTTAGTTTTGCAATTAGCGGTAACTAAAAAAAACCAGTTGGGCTAAACCAAGATTAATTTTTTTCTTGTTAAAAGGCAGAAATAATTAACGTCATGTTTGATCAAATTATAGGCTTTAATTTTTAGGAATATAGTTCTCATATGGCTGCAAAACAAATTTTCTATAAACGTTATATTTCGTTTCTTGTGACAGGTCAACTATCGAACAATAAGACAGTTTCTACGATTCTGAAATTTACAGGAAAAGAAACGTTAGCTCTTGTTTTTTAACTTGTCAATTGTCAATTGCCAAGCAAATCACGTTTTTGGATCATATGATTTACTATTTCTAACTCACATTTGATAAACAAAAGGAACCCCAATAATTTCTTCTTTAATAATTTCATCGTTTTACTTTGGTCGTTTGCAATAAAAACGTACGCTTATTGCACAAATTTAATCTACGTTTCAATGCTTTTGAGATTAAAAAATGAACGACCGGATAATTTTTTTTTTTTTTATTGAAAGTAAAAATGATTTCCCTCGGATTGGTTGGTACCTCCAAAATCTTACAAGTTTTTATAAGATCGATCCCTCTCTCTTGTGAAAAAATATTATCACGAGGATGTTAAAGGATATTGCATGATTCTTTCTCATTGTCGCATGGTATATGGTCCCGATCTCTCCAAAATCTTTTCAGGTATTGCTGCGCCACGACCAACAATAAGAACGATATGAATCTATTGTTTACCCCACATGACAATGTTTGATGTCTTTAACCAAAATGAGCCGCCTTTTATTATCATATGAACAATGTCATATCATGGAAAACTTGTTGAATTTATAAGAAAATTTTTTAAAAAAAAAAAAAATATCCCATGATTAAAGGATGAGCACTAAAATATTCAGGCCGTACCCGTCGCCACATTTTTATAGTTTCAGATGCCGTTGATTATTTCGTAATATTATCAACTTTATACGATCGGAAGTATCCCCAAAAGGTTTCTTTCTATTTTACGCGCGAATAACTTTATCTTATTTATCAGAAATATCTAAAGATCTTCTAGATAAAACATTTTACCAATAATAATCGTATCCATAATGAGGCTGAAACTTTGGCTAAAATGGGATAATGTATATCATGATGTAAAATAATATGCGAATTACGCCAACTCGTTTTTATTTATTTGATTTGATTTTTTTTTTTTGTTACATGGTTGTGATGATTAACCGTGGTTCAATATGACTGGAGGACTGGAAGATTACAAATGTTTATCTTTCGTATCTATGATCCAGAAAGGGGGGAAAAATAAACTTTATTCAACAAGGAAAATAATTGGGGTCAAGATTATTAGCCAATCAAACTGACAAAAAATTGTGGATCATTACGGATCAAAGGAAAAAAACTTTTTAACTGGGTAGCATATATCATCACATCGTGACAAATTTGTCATCATCCGTTACACGTGTTTAAATTTGTCTATAAAACATTTTGTATTTGTGCTCCCCCCTACTTTTTTTTTTTCCTTTTTTTTTGACCTTTTTTTTTTGTAAAAAAAAAAATATTTTTTGAAAAAAAAATAAAAATAAAAAAAAAAAAATAAATAAATAAATAAAAATACACGCAAACAACTTTTTCTCGAAAGTAATTAAAAAATTATTGAATATGACAAGAAGGAAGAGTACCCCCAAGAAACAAGTAGAGTCGTATTTTGACGCAGAAAGAATCTTGGATGAAAAGCAAGAAGATGGAAAATGGTATTATCTTATAAAATGGTCTGGTCATGATAAACATGGAAATCCTTGGCCTTCAAACTGGGTAAAATTTATTTGTTAGGATGTTTTCCTTCCGCTTTTTTCTTATTAATGATATTGACAAATTTTCATTATACTTTTATTAATAGGAACCCAAAGAAAATTGTACTCCTTTGTTGTTAATAGACTGGGAAAAAGAAAAACATCATAAAGAAGAGGATAAAAATAAAAATAAAGAACAAGTAGGAGAAGAATCGAGCCAGGAAATTGAAATCTCATCAGACGAACCCCCACAAAATGATGTGCAAGATCAGAATGATAAGCCTGATAACGAAGTACAGATGAACATAGATAAGCCCGATGATAGGATTAATATCGTTGATGAAAAGATAAATTTCAATCAACTTAACCAAGTTTTGGATAAATATTGCCACATAAATCAAAAGACTCAATCATCAGAACCAACAAGTGTTAAAAAAGATGCCAATAATTTTCATAAAATCAAGTTTCCCCCTTCTAAGGTTAAGCTTGTCAAAATAAACCCTATAAAACCGATTATTGCTAATATTACTGTAGTAGAACATGAAACAAAGTTACTAATGAGCGGATATCATTCCGCAAATAAATTTCTTAATAGAAAGAAATACCCCCTTCATTCACAATCTGGTAGACTTTCATTATATAAACGAGGTTCGGATCATATTCAAGATTCAAATGATAATTCAACAACAAAGAAGCAGAAAACCGAGATTGTTCCTGATAGGTCACTGTTAAATGTTCCCAAAACGAAGGATGATATCCCCAATGAAGAATCTCGAGTTTTACAAACAACATCTGCTAATGACAAAAAAGATACTTCACAATCAAATAAAGTACCTCCAAGTGGTAATCCACAAAGTGAACAAAGTGTACCTACCGTACAAACTAGCAACTCAACACAAGTAGGAGCTATCCATGTAAATGAAGAAACTATAAAACAAGCTTATTTACGCATGAGCAATAATAAAAATGCATCGAGTTCAGGTTCTACAAGTTCAACATCATCCAACCTAAAATTTCGTCCGATCGCTGCAAAAATCGCACCAGCAACATCGCAATATACTGTTCCCAATGTTGCAAAAGTGAATTCCTCATCAAATGTAGGAAAGTTGACGGGTAGTATCACGTCGACAAACAAACAAAATTTGCCACCAGCAAACAGGTTGGCCAGTATAAGAACTCCGGTTCCGGTTGATAATTTTCCAAAAAGTAGTGTTTCAGCTACTAATGCTCAGATTCAATCTGATAAGAAGTCTCCACAACATACCAGTTACTTTCATAAATCATTTGTGCAAAAATCAAGTGTTATCCCGACATCAAGTTCCAATAATGATACTAACCAACCCAACCAATCTATTGATACTCAAAGGGTTTCAACGCCCATTAAACCACCTTCTACTAATGACCGGTCTGCATCTTCTACAATGGATATTGATACTTCATCATCTAATCATCCATTCTATCAATTGCCTTTAGAAAGACTGGTAAGTAATTATTTATCTCGTAAGATTTGTTATACTATTGTATTAATTTATTTTTCATTACTTAGAAGGAACCAACTGTATCAAACATAGATTTATGGATGAATGAATGGGCAAAGGCAAAGTCTTTGAATGATACTTTAGAGAAAGAGAAGAATGAATTATTCAAAGAAAAAAATAAATATGTTAGGGAAGTTCATCATCTTAGACTTGAGGTTGAAAGGAGACCACAATCTGAATCGGAATCATCCGAAATAATCAAAAAATATCATGAAAGTATTCAAAGATTATATAATAAATGGTTAGAAACCCAAAATAAATATGTCACAAAGGTTAAGGATTTTACAAACCTTGAAACGGAACATTCAAAATTACAGACAGAATATAATCAAATTAAAAAGCTTGTAATGGGAAAACACACGGAGGGAGAAACACTTAAAGGTGAAATAAAAAAGTCAGCTCAAGAATTGAACGAACTTAAAGATGAAAATAAAAATTTGAAGGCAGATTGGTCATGTTTAATGAGAAATGGTGCTATAATGATGAGAGAGGATTATTGTAAAATCACAAAACTTGAAAATTCTTTGCAGGAATTAGTTCAACAAAGAAGCAATGTCAACGAAGTAATCAATAGGTTGAGAAAAGACATCAAACAGGAAGTAAATAAGATGAGAGAGTCTAATAGAGATCATGATGAGCGCTATGAAATTTTATATAAACAGATTGAAAATTTGAAATTACAAAACAAATTACAAGAAACTAGTTTGAATATGGCCGAAGAAAATTCAACTATTGCAGAAAAATCTGCAAATCTTATGCTTGAGATCAAAAAACGATCTGTTGGAGATATCCTGAATAAGCACGACAATACTACTCAACCTTATTCTTTCTCTAATGCCAACAATGGCAATTTTCCATCTTTAACATTTTTTTCAAGTCCGCAAAGAGTCAATCATAATAAAAAGAATAATAATAATTATACTACATCAAACAATAATGCTGCTCATTCTAAATCTGCGGAAAAGGTACCAACCTTACAGAGACATAGAGATAATCCCAAAAATCTTGTAAATATTGTCAATCACAATAGCTCCGAGCAAGGAGGTAATGTTATTTGATTTGAACATTTTTACCCTTTTTAGGAATTTAAGAGATTAATATTTGAAATTTTAATGATTAATAGGTACTAATACTAACATTGTGCAAGCTAGAAATGTACAAACAGTCAAGCCGGTTCGTAATTATCATTTATCCAAATTGGCTGAAAAACCTAATGTTTCGGCAAATTCGAAATCACAATTGCCAACCAATTTACGTATGATACAAAGTAAAAGACCGATTGGAGGTCCTATGATCACAAATCCTATCACAAACACTGCAAGAAGATTGAATCTACACTACCATACGGAAACGAAAAACGAGGTAATTGTACATCCAATTCCACAAAATCCTACTAAATCAACCCAGCAAATGAATTATCTTTGTGAATGGAATTTATGCAAAAAATTATTTAGCAACAAATCAGTATTGAAAAATCATCTTAAAGATCATCTTAATTCTGGTAAAATTCCAATTGGGAAAGACAAAAATATTGATGATACTGATGATTTAGTAGCAGTTAAAATGGAATTTTGATCTTTTGTTGCAATGTCATGTCATGTTTACAAATAAAGCTTATCTAGGGGATAAAATTAGATTCTAATATTTCTTCTGTAGAAATTACATTGAACATAAGAACTTTTGATTTCCATTTCTGATTCAATTTTTTTTTCATTTGCATACTTTTTTTTCAAAAAAAAAATAATTACAGTATATACAGAAATAAGGCCTTTTTTGTTTTTTTTTCTGAATAAGCAAATTTAAGTCATTTTAAGTTTAATATCATTAAGTAAGTATTTGAATTCATTTTTCTTTTTTTTTTCAAATTTATCATCGAAAATCATAAGTTAAGTAAGTATTTGAATCACCTATTTTTTTCCTTTCAAATTAGCATCGAAATTTAGAAAGTTTAATCTAATCGTAAATCGTAAAGCTAATTTTAAATAAGATTTGATTATCGCAAGATAATCTATTGATAGATAATCTAAATTTTAAGAAACTTAAAATAGGGTTAAGTGGAGTTTTTTCTTTCATCAGCCGCTTGTAATAAAAAAGTGTGATTTTTTTTGTTAGTAAATTCCATATTATATCATTTTAAAATTTTTGAAAGATATATTTTAAATCATTATGTAAATATCATTATATTATTCACTAATCTTTAATTGTTATATAATTCATATAAAATTTAAAATTTGATACATTATGTAAATAATTTTGCATTGTTATTTTTCGGTAATTACTTCATCATTAATCAAAAATATCATTTTTTTGATAAATATTCAATATAAATACAGTACAGTAGGTCTTTTAATTTCTTTTTTATTATATAATATAAATAAATAATAATATAAATTTCAAAATTTCAACCGAATCCTATGTTTAAAGATGATGGTATATTGAAGCAGGTCTTTCCCCTTCTACCAAATTAATGAATAAAGTGAGTTATATAATATTATGTACAAATTATTTAAATTCTGTGATCAGAAAATTGTGTTTGTAAGAACTTTTTTGTTTCGGTTAATTTAACCAATAAATATCCGGTTACGGGTATCCGGTTATTTACGGATTTGAATAATAATTGATACCCGTCTCATTTTTCTTGTCTTGTTTCTACGGTTTAATACCGTTTGCTCTTCGAGAACGTTTTCTTGTCAACTTGTTTTATATTATTGAGTTCAAAATTTCGAACTAAGAAAATCCAGATATCTTAATATAATTCCGGAGGATATCTCCGCAAAGATAATATATTTTTTAAATCATATTTACAACAACTTTGTTTTAATAGTCATAAGAAATTTCTTTTTTTTCGATGTATTATCTTCGTTTGTTATTGGATCGTCACGGTCAATTTACTGCGGCAAATTTGTTCAAAACTCCTAATTAAATTAATAAAATCCAATTTTTTTTTTAAAAAAATGAATAAATTCTTTATTTATATTGAATCTTTTGTTAAATTATGAACGATATCTTTATTGTTGGAACGAATACAAGTAATTCTTCACAGTTTAGTTTCCAGTCCGATCTACGTTTTCGATAGCATGGAATTTTCATTTTTACTTTTCTCATCTAATCGAGGAAAGTTTATATTGGAAATTAAACATTTATCATGTATGACTAACTTCAAACGAATATTTCAACACCTTCATGAAATAATTTAAAGTCATAATACAACAATTTTTATAAGATTTTTCGTGATCTTTATAATTTCTGCGGTTTTCTAAATAGAAAAATTAAATAATAATTTACAAGTCGCAATTAGACATTATATCTTTTTTTTTTGATTTTGCTATAAAATTTTTAAATTACATTATGTACGGTACGCTTTCATTGTAACATTAAATTTTTTTGAAACAAGCTATTTGTTTATTTTGGTTGTTTCATTTCTACATACATACACACGCACACATTAATTATTATTTTATTAAACTTATCTTTATCTATGAGAAAATAATTTATGCAATAGGGATCATTTTTAATTTAATGTTATAAAGAAATTTCTAAATACTAAATTCTTATAAAAGCAGAACACCGTGGTTTATCATTTTGAGAATATATTTAAATAATAAATGTTGCTAATTTAATAACTATTAAATTGTAAAGGTTTTTTTTAAAATTAGATCCCGAATAGTTATATAGATTGTACTGTCGAAAAGTGATTGTAACCAAACTTTTTTGAATTTAGTACAATGAAATATGATTGGTTGTAATAACTTTCGAACATTACAGCTGATCGTTCATAATTTGTGTCGATCATTAATTTCGGATTTTTTGATGTCTTTATTATTAAACTACTGCGTATTAATATTTTTTTATCCCTTGTGCGGTTTACCGCCGCCTATGAATTATTACTAAAATTTATTTATTAATTTACATATATTGATTATTTTTACATGTAGTGATCCAATTTTTTATAATTTGGTTTATCAAGAAAGCTCTGAAAGTGATAAATTCTATTATCCTAAATTTGAAAAAATATGACGCAGGATATCATAAGTTATTTACATTGAAGAATTTTTATTAAAATTATTCATTTTAAAGCTTCGTAAATAACTTTACATCCATTCGAGGTTTCCACTCTAAATACATGAAAATAAAGCACCAAAATTAAAGAAAATTGGCGCAGCGGATCACGTGAATTAACATTAAACATCACTGCGGCATTTTGTAAATTTATAATCATACTACATAAAAATCTAATGGAAGTAAACATAACAAACTACATAAAAGAATATGATATAATATAGATCATAATTTAGACTTCCATAATTATTGCATCACCCTGTTTAATTTTTTTAAATCATAATTTTGCAAAATTTGAAGTGATTGTCTAATTAGTCGAAAAATGATAATAGGAGAATTAGGTCAAATCCGAGTTACCAGATTTAACCTAATTGGTCTCATATTTTTTTTTGTTTTTTAGTATCAAATAATTTCAATTGATAATGAATAATAATACAGCTATATGAAGTTTTTAAAAAAAATATTATAGAAGTAAAGTTTTAAAAAAAAATACTCTAGTAATTCTTAAAGAAAAATAATCTGATATATAATGCTTAAAAAAAAAAATTCTGCTAGTATAATTTTTAAAGAAAAATGCTCTACTAGTATAGTTCTTAAAGAAAATAACTCCAATAGCATCAATAGCATAATTCATAAAAAAAAATATTTCAGTAATATATTTCTTAAAGAAAATTATTACAGAAGAAAATTTCTTAAAGTAATCACTACAAAAGTGAAATTTAAATAGTCATATACATGCATACCTTTGATTTACAGATATTTAAAACTAATATAATAATAATTATATATAAAGATCTTTTTTTTTTATAAAAAATGATTTCTTTTTTAAATTTTTTTATTACAAAACAATATTTCTATTTATCTTTATTGTATTTAAGAATAAAATAATAGTTAAATTATGTAGTTAAAATCCTTTTAGTAAATAATATTTATTATTAATTCTCCAATTTGAGAAATTAATATTAAGATATAAAGAGAAGATTAGTTTAATTTCTAAATTATAAAAGTATACTTCAGAATATTTAGATATTAAATTAAAATCAAATTATAAGTTATATAATTTATAATTAATTCTATATTTATATGATTTTAATGTTATATATTTTCTAATATATATGTTAATTAGCATATGCCAACTTATTAGGAATTAATAAATTTTAAATTATAGTTATTTTTTATTTTATTTATTATTAATAAATAATTTTTAAAATTTTAATAATAACTTTTATTATAATATAAGGTGTTATTTAGAAAAATGATTTTTTAAGACTTATTATCTATTTTGAATTTTTTTTAGTAAGATGACACTAATAGGAGAAAGTAGTCTAACATTAGTATCTTAAGTATTCCAACTATCTTGTATATGTATTATCTAAAGACCTTCTAATTTATACTAAGATTTTTAAAAACAATCCAACAATATACTATCCTAAAGGTTACTATCTAGAAAATGAATTCATTTACACCTTATTGAGGTAATACTCAAGTATTCTAGATTCTTAAGTACTATCAAATTTGAATAGAGAAATTATTCGTAGTCATAATAATTATCAATTTTTATTATTATTACTAATAATATAGACAATATACAGTCATACCTCTCTATAGCGAATTTTTATATAACGAATTTTTTGGACAACTATATTAAATTTACCCTCGTTATAATGAACTAGCCAATCAAATTCTTTAAAAAATTCACTATAGCTCTATAGCGAAGTTGAAGTTCAGGACATAAAATTCGTTATATCAAGGGTTAACTGTAAAGGTTAAATATTATCAAATTCGAATTACTCAGTTTAATATGATAAATAAAGGTGATTCTTATAATTATTTTAAAAATTTTTAACTAGTTGCAACTTAAATTGCAATTTGTTGAGTTGTAATTATTTATTAATTTTATATTAAAATAATTATACAAGGAATTACAACTTACTGAGTTGCAATTTCTTAATTACTGTATCATCTTTAATGATACAAAATGATCTTATGTAGCTAAAGGCCTAGAAGCTATTATTTAATATAGATTAAGATAAATATTATATTCTGAATATCAAACAACTCAAAATTAAATCTGATTTCTAATCTAAATGATAGTTTGATTAGCTAATATTATACTATGTAATGCATTTAATTATTACTAGAATCTAATCAACTAAATTCTGATTAATCATTTTTTTAAACTTCAGTAAGGATTCTTAGAGTGTAAATATAAGATTGTATTCATTAAAAACCAAATAGTAAAGGCTAGATTTTTATAAAAAAATTATATAGTTTTATGTCTCAGTAACTGATGGCCTATAGTTGTATAATAAAACCTTTATTATAAAGACTCACAACTTAATTACTAAGCTAGGATTTTCATACTTTTTATTATTATTTTGAGTTTTTTATTTTAAAATTCAATAGCTTCGCATAATCTTTATTAAATATAAGTAAATATATAAAAATACAAAATAAGAAAAAAAATACAAAAAATCCTAGATATTTTAAGCTAAGTTAAAATAAATCAATTTAAC